ATGTGCTTGCTGAGAGGGGGGTTTATTCTTGAATAGTATATATTGATAGACCATAGTAATTATTTCCTTCTAAGTCAGTTTATTTATATACTTTGTTATTGAAAATAACCACAACTAGACTTTTTGTTTTCTGCATTTCATAATGCTAATTAGGTGTGAAGTGTCTGCATTCATCTCCATTTGTGAAACTGCCCCTGTAAATTTTGCATTTGAAATTTATAGATAAACCTTTGAAAGCAGTCAGCCACATCTTCATCTGTCTCATTTCTGTGTTCATTTTTGATAATCAGTGTCCTTTTACTTGACACTTTTTGAACTCTGCTTCCGGATAGGTCTGGGGACCCAGGTATATCAGAGGTGGTCATTGTCCTGTAAGACCTCAGGACCACAGGATGCTGCCTTACAGACTCGAGCCCCTAAGTGCTGTTTTGGAAGAACTTTAAGCATTCTTAGTGGGAAGGGGGTGTGGGGATTTGGGAGTCTATGGAGAAAAAACTGCCTTCAGGTTCTCTGGGAGTGGCCAGACTGCCTGATGACTCAGGATGGTGATCATTTGGGAAACACCTCCTCCCTGTTGTGTCAGATGGGGGTGGTGGGGGGACCGTGGAGAATTGGTACATCGGATAACATGGATTTTTTCAGGTACAGCCCTTCAATGCATGAAGCCTGTTGTCTTCTTTAAGAGGAAAAAAAAAAGTTGTCCCCAATGATCTCATCATAGGAGTATGTGAAAATTTTTTTACTCTGTTTGAAGCAACTACACAGATATGTGAGATATTCTCTGGAAACCATAAAATTGCTCATTTCTTTTAAAGTAATGCCATAAAGCCAAACCTCAGTAATAATAGGTGTCACATAACCCCATTAGTATTTTTCACAGGGACAGACCTACAGATGTATCCTTTCTGTTCTTATCCATTTCTGCTGGAGTCCTTCCTAGATAGAGATGAATATCAGAACTAGGGGAAATAAAACAGACCAGGGAAAATATATAACCTGCAGCGTAAATTACTTTATTGACTGCTAACAATATACGTACTTAATGAAAAAATCAGAAACATGTAACCACAAGGACCTTAATAGAGTACCTTAACAGAAACGAATAAATATATGACATTATTAGAGACTTAAATGAATGATTATCTTTGAGAATGCTCAAAAAGATTGCAAAAAAAATTAATAATTGTAGGAATTTGTACAAAGCAATACCTTTAGTTAAATTCTTATCTTTCATCTTATTATTTTCCCTTACCTGGGAAAATTCCCAGTTGTGGTTGCTGAATACAGTCTACAAGGTTCTTAAAAAATGTATCACTAATTCACAAACTCTGCACTCAGGTTCTTTTTCTTCTAATCTGCTTGCTACATTAAGACTACTGCGTTTCATCCGCTCAAAGGCCATGCATGGGTCCATGGTCATGAGGCAGGGGGTGAGAACTCTTGTACCATGGGCATGCCACCAAAAAATATGTAGGGTGTGCCCCAACGATGAAAGTGACACTGGTGAAAATAAAAGGCTTAGACCAGCAAAGCATCCTTCAAAGCCCCAGTATTGACTCAGTCAAGTTTTCTGCCTGGAGCCCAACTCCATGCCCAGGAATCCCAGTGAAGGATATGAGCATCAAAGGGCTAGAGCCCAGGGACAAGGTGCAATTTAGGACTCATTTGTAATTCATAATCTCAGAGACTTCTAGAGCCCTTCTTCTCTGATTTTGACTTTGTTGTGTGGTAAGTGACTTACTTTTCAAACTTAGGATGATGTGGTTTTTTTTTTACATCATTGTTCATTTTTAAACAATATTTGCTTTCCCCCACCCCCTCAGGTGTAGTCCCTATAGAATTTCCTTCACCAATGCACCTGTGCACCATCACCTCAGTCCCCTGTGCTCCTTCCTCCCACCCAGTGTATTTATTTTTGAAGTCCTTCACCAAGATCTATAAAAACAAATAACAAGAAAAAAGTTCCAGCATATCTTAAGCTATTTTGATTTTTCTAAATATGTTGATTATTTGATGGATATATTCCTTATAAAATATTCTTTTTATATTGCTTCCCCCCTTTCTCCTATTCAGTTTAAATCATCTAAAAGATAGATTTTAGTATAAAATTGAGGAAAAAATAGTCATTTCCATTTATAAATGAATTTGTGATTACTTAAGAACTTAAGGATTGGAGAAATCCTCAGCTGTTTTTCTGTAGATAAACTGGAAGATCTTAGGAATGTGTACATACCCTTTCTTTGCTAACTGGAGGCCAAGGACCTCATTTTGTTCTTTGGTTCTTTGCCCTGTGAATCTAAAACATGCATTTGGAGATTCCTATTTCATATCTGAAACAATCCAATTCAGTTCTGTTCATTTTTATAATTCCTATTATCTTAACCAGACACACAAGACCAAGTTTTATAAGGGCATAATGAGGTCATAATGCCTCAACTTTTACATAACTCTCTTTACCATTTTCATTGCGCTTTTATGTGTATAATTTAACTTTTTAACAATCCTGCATGGAAAAATAGGAGGTTTTTACTGCTATTTATATAAAAGGATGGAATCTCGGAGGAGCTAGAGTTCACAGCTGACAGTAGGACTGGAGAGGCCTTGGATCACAGCCTCATGCTCTCCTTGTGCATGTGTACACATGGCTGTGATTCTGATTTTTTGATTCCACATCTGCCTATCAAGAGCCCATGGAACATCTCTAGGAACAGAAGAGTTACACAAGAAGTCTATATTCCTACCCTTTCAATTGTATTAATTGAAGACACAAGACATCTGGTAATTCTACTAATGGCAAGGGTGTAACTCAGTGGCACCATCAAGACCTCTCTTACCAAAGGCGCTTGCTCCCAGTCTCATGAAATTCTTCCTACCTTGGCTTTACTTACCAAGAGTAGCACGGAGGGAGAGCCCCTTCTTCTCCTACTGTTTTCCTTGCTCCTCTCCTCTAAATTCTCCTCCAAGCAAAACAGGTTGTTCTGAGACTTTCCCATTTGCCTTGGAAGAGTTATTAAAATTTCTTAGAATAATTCCTGGCCAGTGAAATGATAACCACAGGGCCATGCCTTTGAAGAGATACACGCATGTACACGTATGCTTGTTCCGCCATTTGAATCCCAAGAATGTGGCCCTTTCATGCTGAACCACAGCGTGCTTTAACAAGCTTGTACCCAGTTTGATGTCACATCCTCACTTCTTCCTTTCTGAGTTATTGAAAGAAGTGGAACATCTTCTGGAATAACTTTGTTAGAAGCTTGGTTCCCCCAAAGGATCTATGTAGCAAGGTATCACTGTTTTTCAAGCATTCATTAATTCAGTTCACTAAACTGGTAGGACAGTAACTTTGCTGAAAGCCTTCATTAGTATTTCCAGTTCCTTCTTTTATATGAAAACTGATGTTTTATTAGTCTATATAAAGGACCTTGCTAATGCAATGTTTAAGAATAGTCACCCATCCATTTCTATTCCTTTAGTCTGATGTCTGTTTCCTAACTCCATCAAGAAATTGTAGAACTGCCAGTGGTTTACAGTCATAATAGAAATGGTGCTAGCTCAGTAGAAAGATGAGTTGGATACCATCCCTAGTCTTACTCACCAATCAACTAGGAGAGAGGGTTAATTTAAAATGCAAATTGTACTTTTGGAATTCCACAGCTGTTATAGTGAAACAATTCTGCACAGGGAAAGAAAAACTTCAAAAAAGATGTGGTATTTGCACTAAACTTGAGTGACTGGGAAATTTCTATTTAAATGTAAAAGGTGGCAAGAGGATATTTTTGGCAGAAAAAGTTTGATCCAAGAGAGAGAAGTGCAATGTTCAATGCATGTACACACATGCCTAAGACTCTGGAACAAATATTAGCATCAAGGAGCAAGAAAGTGACAGTGATGTGTCGGGTAATAAAGGTGATAGTATTCCAAGAAAGAAAAGATTATTCCAATCCAGAAAACCTTGTCTTAGCCTTGTTTGGGTCTTTTCCCGAACAGCCGTGCAGATTTAGTGGCTGGTCAATAAATATCGAATTATTTGGAATTTAATCGGAATAACATTCCAACTAGGTTTTTTTTTTTAATATGGGTGGGATTCAAGCTGAGAAGAAGAAGGTGTAAATTGTGACTTATAGATACCATTTATATATCATTTTGATGTCCTGACATACTGCCTTATTTATTTCTGAAGTCAGCAGTTATTTCTTGAATGTCTACAGTGTCTCCAATGACAGATTAGAATCAGGGGCTACAACTATATACAAAAAAAAACACAGATCACATCTATTTCTGTATTATCAGAGTTCTCCTTGTATCCAGAGCTTTCAAGTTTTTCTCAGCAAAGATAAAACAAAGTCCCTAGACAAAAGTAAAGACATCAGCACCATCAGATAGCTTGTAATACCAATGGGCAGGAGGAAACCTGAAGTGGTAGGTCATCCAGGTTCCACACAATGAGATGGCCAAACCAAGTAGCTTCATGTTCTGTTGTTCCTCAAAGAAAATGATTGTTCTGACCTATTTTTTCCTGAATTGTGTTTTTAAATTTTCTCTCTGTCAGTCGTGTAGACACTGTAGAATAAGGAGTGTCAGAAGTCACTGTCAATTGTTTGGGCATGTTAGGCATTGCACACCTGGAAACAGAATAGTTGAATTGCTTGGCAACTTAAAATAACTCTCACTCTGCAAATTGGGTTTTCTCCACCCTTTCACCATTACGTAATTCTGGCAGATTGCAAGTTACCTCTCTTTATTTGTCCCTTCCCTTCCAAGGGTTTGTTCTTCCCCATGTATTAATAACACATAAGTTTTTATGGCCAAATTATCTGACAATATGAAGCATGTAAATGTAGAACTTATACCAACATGATTTCCTGCAGTTTCATTTAACTTTCTTCATAAGGAGGATCTTTCTCCACTTCCATTTCTTCTAGATTACATTTGTATGACTATTCATAGATGTTTAGAAACTGCAGAAGGATCCAAATTTTAATTCAAAAGTGTGTGTAAACTTTTAAATTATAAGAAATTGTGCTTAAATCTTCTGTTTAAAAAAAATACTTTCCTGCTTTTTTTTAATTAAAATTAAATTCCATCCATTTATTTCTCCTGTGGTCATATGATTGAATCCTGAAAGGAAATACTGTGTATTCCTGCTAATTTGGGCTCCTTCTAATAGTAGAATTCTCCTTAAAACAGCAAAGTATCCTGGGATTAACCTGTGAAATAAAAAGAAAGCAAGTCAATTATAGAAAAGTATTCCTTTATGTGTCAGAATCTGCATGAATATTATGTGGTAGTTCCTCTGTAATTGCTGGGGCCTTCCTTTGGTAGCAATCCTACCTTTTAGGCTTTTCATTAGGCCTTTTTTCAGATGTCTTTGTAGATGGGGATACTTGCCTCTGGAAAGTAAAGAGTGTTACTGGTATTGGTGAGAACTGGTTGGGGATAAGCTGGAAGGGGAGATAAATAAGATGCCTTTACCTGCAGACCTTGGAGAGAAGCTGAAATGGCTTATATCTGGGAAGGATTCTGGATCTACCCCCCAACCCTTCAGTCCCAGGGATAGTGACCTTGGCCAAGAACAACCTAAAGGAGGGGTTCATCATGTAGAAATGGACTGCAGTTTTGTGATGATTGATTCATACCACTGCATTTTATCCCCACTCTATCTTACCCAGTACTGAAAACCTCTCCCTTAGCTATGACTCCTGGAGTTCATAGAGTGGCCTGGCCTATAGAACTGTTGATAGAGCAATTTGGGCAATGATTCAGAGATTCCTGAGAAGTTGGATGAAGGGTATAAGTATTAGGACTCTTCCCCAGAAGAAGATAAGGTCTCAAAATTGGAGCTTAAAAACGGTATAGTGTAGGCTCTTCTCTCTAAAGATGCCTGTGCCCAAAAATCAGTGTTGGGACACCACTACCTACCAAATTAAATTAAAATGCTGCTTTTCTTGGCTTTTGAAGCCTTGAGCAGCCTGGCTGCCATCTGTCTTTCCAGCATCTACCCTCATTACCTCCCCCACCCATAATTTATGTTTGCCCAAACTCATCTTTCATTGTATGTTCTGATTCTCTCTCTTTGCTTGGAATGTCTCCTTTGAGGACAGCTCAGATGCCACCTTTGCCCTGTTCTTCTTGATCACCTTCAGCAAGATGAGAGCTCTCCCTCTTTGTGGTTTGCAAAGTTCTGCAATGTCTTAGGGTCGCTGAATACCTGTAACCTCAGCCTGCAAGCTTAAACTCCTTGAGGACTAGAATGATCATGCAAGTTTGATTTGGTTTTATCTGATAATATTGGTTATTCCTTCTTAGGTCTTTGTTCATCAAAAAATTTTAACTAACCCTACGGTACTTAGGTGTCTCTGCCAAATAGTTTTAGCACTTAAGAGTGGTTTCATATTTTTGTTGGGTTTTCCATGCATGTTTCCCTGGCTTCTCAAAACTAAGTTTACTTGGTTTCTTAAGAGTAAAATCATATTCCTCAATAAATATTTGTTGGTTTACTGGGTTTTCATTGATTAGTAAGCAAAGTGACATCCCTCTGTACCACCTACAGATGAACATTTCTTTAGCAGTGACATATGACCACAAAAATTAGAAATCTACCTTTTAAGATCCTCCTATTAAAACTTTTTTTAAATTAAGTCTTCCCTTTTTTACAGTCAATAAAGTAATTTCAGTACTTAAAAATTTTCTTCATTAGAGGGGATAATACAAATACATAAAAACACCCAAGTAGAGAAACTTATACCCTTATATTACAGTTTTACAGCACTTTTCCATCTTTATGAACCTAACAGGACCCTTTATTATTTATTTGATGAACCCTTTAGAAAGGTTTCATGTGTATCTTTCTAACGTGGTTTTCATTTGTCATAAAGGCTTTTTTTTTGATAAACTGAAAAGTTTATCTGAAATGCCAAATTCTAGCTTTAGCTCGATTCTTAGACTTCAGCCTTTGAGACATCTCTCAGTCAGTTTTGTTAGCAGGCTTCCTGGAAGCCGGTGACCTTATGTCATGCACACCTTTTCCTGCCTGTGCACCACATGTCTCTCCCACTTCCTTCATCCCTGATTCCCATGTAGAAGCTGAAGATTATTGTTGGAACTAGTTATAGCAGACAGCATGTTTCAGTAAAAGATGATGAGCATGTTACTCTAAAGGAAATCACTGGTGTTAGAACTGGAAGTGAAACTAACCCCCAGCACTGGGTCATCAGTTCACAGATGAAAGGAAATCTTACAGACAAACAGGATAATTCTTCACCTGTCATTTCTCTGTTCTTTCAATTGACTGAATCTTTTTTTGTATCAATAGATATACTTGCAGATTTTCTTCCCTAAAACATTAAAATGCAAGTTAAGTTATATAGTAATTACAATTTAATTGAATTATATAACTGTAAATAGTCCAGGTATATATCAGTGTTCTTTATATTCTAATTTTCATCTTAGAGAATTATAATAATTTGTATAAAATTATCTTCATAAATACCACTCTTAAAATACCAGCTTTCTTCTGTATGTTTTGCATTTCTACTTAGTACTTTCTACCTAAAATTTATATTTTAATAAAATATGTTACCTAAGTATTAATCAAGGACTATTTGGTATGTAGATTTTTTATTACCTTAAAATTTCCTTTTGAAATATAGGGGAAAATATTCTTTTGGCCAAAAAATATTTGTCCAATTCTTCAGGAAAGAAGCACCTTCAGATCAACTCAATATATTCATCCTATTTTCTTACCAATTTTCTCTATAGCAGGTCTCAACTTCTAGCATTTTTCTGTAAGTTTCTTAATAAAAATCTAACTTAAGATTACTTTTAAAATATATTCTTGGTTTTTGAAAGCAGGTTGTGAACAGAGATTGTTGGTACCTTTAAATGCAATTTGCTGCATCACTATACTAAAAGATGTTTAATGGCATATGTGTATTTTGTAAAATACAAAGCTGGTATTTTTAGAGTGGTATTTAGGAAGATAATTTGTGTACAAATTAACTCTCTGAGCTGAAAATTAGAATGTAAAGAACACTGATGTATACCTCAACTATTTATAGTTACTTAATTCAATTAAATTGTAATTATTGTACAACTTTACTTTCATCCTAATGCTTTAGGGAAAAAAAAAAACTTAGGAAAAACCTCAGGGCATATATATCAGATGAAATCCCAATAGCATGGTTTTAACTAGGTCTTTTAATATATCTACTGTTACTCTTTAAAGTCCATCTGCCTAAATAATGATTGCTGGTTTATTTCTTTTTTTTATAAAAGAGATGGAAATGTCCTTTTTAAAACAAGATTTATTTATGCATACAAGAACTGGGGTGCAGGCCAGAGGTGTGGGGGTGAGAAGATTCACCAGAGAAAGAGTGGGGAGCAGAACAGGCAGATTGACTGAAATATACTGCTGAGGAGAGCAGCAGACAAGACAGGAGAGATCTGCTGGGCCATGTGAGCTAGCTCCTTGGCCAGGGATCAAATTTGTGCTGCAGTGGCTGGCGACAGCTTGATAGTGCTGACTTTAACCCCTGCGCTACCAGGGAGGCCCTGCAAATGTCCTTTGTTAGCTTATTCTGTATGTGAAGAAGGGGATTGATGTGGTGCTTTTCAGCACTCTGCACAGTTCACATAAGCCTTCTCTGTCTATATCTGCAGAAGTTGAAATATTCCTGCTGGTTATTACTCCTTTTTTTCCTTCATGCAATAGTTTGAAAGCTACTTGTCTTTGGAACTTACTTAAAATACAAATAAAATGTTTGATAAAACTCCAAGCAGTTGGAAGGAGCAGGAAGCTCAGTTGAGGACCATGAGAATTCCAGGGAAAAAGCTCAGTTGAAACCAAATTTCTGAACTCTAGATCCTTATTTTTGCATTTGTGATTTGAGGCAGGTGAAACAGTGTCCTAGGTTCACTTTACAGAGTTAAATAACACTGTGGTAACTGAAGCTATCAAGCTGCTGCTCATTCCAGGAATGTGAAAGATGCCTATATCAACAACACAGAGCTACTGCTACTTTCATCATATTTTTGTTGGATTAGAAAAATGCAATTGAACTTTGGGATTTTAAAATATTTTAAAGCAGTATTTCACAAATGCCATTAAGCTCTTCCAACCTTGTGTTTATAGGTAGAGAGATTTCTGCTGATGTGCTGGAAATATGTAACCCTGTATTTTGCAGCCTTACTTTCCTTCTTTGGAAACCCTGATTTCCTAAAGGGGAATATGGCTTTAATATGAGGTTTTGGCTTTGGTAACAGATGTGGTTCTGCAGTAATATCAATTCAAGCAATGACAGGGCTGAAAGTGAAAATAAAGCTGAAATGATTTTGTGACCATTGCATACAAACAATCTTCCAGTGTAAAAGGTATTGAATAATTCACCTACTGAAAATGGCAGAAAATATGATTATGCTGCTCAGTTATATACTTGATTATGCTGCTCAGTTATATACTTATCACAAGCTCAGAGAGGAGAATGGAAAGATGGGATCATCAGAACTATAATCTGGAAAGGGTATGTGTGCCTCTGGGACTGTCCCTTCAAGCACAGCTCTGTACATCTTATAGCAACATGACAAAAGATGGTGATGGCCGGAAGCAGGAGCACTGAAATAAGTCTTGGTCTTGTAGGGATGAAGCATTACTGTCTCATAATGGGCAGAAATATCAAATATCCCTTAAAAGAGAAGTTGACGCTAGAGATTAGAGAATCATTAAAATCATCTAATTTTAGGGTTTAGGGAGCCACCCAAGGCTGATATTTTGGTGATGGGAATACCAGTGACTTAGGAGGATGTGATGATATGTCAAAGCCCATTGAAGATTATTAAGGTCTTTGGTCCAAGGACCAGCAGTCCATTTCTGTGTTCCTCGTTGATTATTAGCTTGAAAGAGAGAATGAGAAGATCATTTTTCATAAAGCATTAACCTGCAGTGGTTCCTATAATGAAAGGTATGATTGTATAGATGCTTCCAGCAAATTAAGGTCATCATTTTTTTTCTTTTGACCTTCTCAAACACCAAATTATACTATGGAAAGTGGAAAATTATAACTAAATCCCTCAGTGATAGTCATTTCTGTATAATAGTTCCTTAGCCTGTGAGAAAATCAAATGGTCAATTTGAGTAGGTATTTATGGCAGATCCCAACAAAGCTCAGTGTCTTCACAGATTGTGTCACATTTCTCAGAAAGTGCTAGGAGA